TTTTGGAGAATTTCAGGCTATGTTATCAGTTGGGTTCCCAATTTCATTTGGAACTAGTTTTCTAGAGAAACACTGTTCTTACTGTGTTTAGGTTGCCACGAAAGCCTGCAGAAGTATATCTGATTATTGATAACAACTCTTTGTATGTAGTAATGTTCCTATGGGGAAATGGGGACTGTAAGTTCTAAATATCCTGACTAACAAACCTCAAAATCACAAACTCCATATTATAAACTTCTGGTGGTTGTTTTACTTTCTTGAGTGCCTGTTGATCTTTTATTGTACAGCGGTGATGCTTTTGAAATTACCCTTTCTGAAGAGAAGAGGAGGGGGTATAGACCCAACTGTGAAAGAGCGCCTCTGGTTGACACTTCACTGGCCTAGTGATCAGCCAACACAACTGGTATCCAGCTGTTTGGGGTAAGTGCATTGTTTTGGGTTGGGGTTTTTTTGTTTGTTTTGGTGTTTTTGTGGGGTTTTTTTTTTTTGGACCATACTTTCTCTTAAGACATTTTATTTCTGTTTCTAAAGACAAAAGTTGAGGAAGTAATCATGAAGGTTTGTATCTTGATGAAACATTTGTAATTGTAAGAGTAATTACTGCTAACCACTGACAGGCATGTGATCTGACTGCATATCTATAGCCTGATTGTTAAAGCATGGACTAAGGCAGACTGCAATTTCACTGTAAATTCTGTTGTTTACCTGCTTTGTGTTCATAAATAAGACCCTTTGCTTTTTGACCTTCATGTATTTTATGTATTGCTAGGTTGATGATTATAATGTATCTTTATTTTTTGTTTTGTTGGGTTTTTTTTATTTTATGTTGCTTTGCATATAGAATTCATATACATTGTGTTTTATAAAAATTATCATTGATCTATGCGACTATTATTACTCCAATTTTTCAGGTCCCCATTGGGTCCCTCCTAATTCTTTTGCTCCTTCCCATTCCTATCCTTTTAAAGTAATTCTAGGTATTCATTAAGTTAAATATTTGCAGGCATACCTCTGAGATATTATGGTTTGATTCCTGCCTACTGCAATAAAATGAATAAGTAAAGCAAGTCATATGATTTGTTTGTTTTCTAGTACTCATAAACATAATTGTGTCTATTTTAGATGTTTAATAAATACATATTACACTCATTGGTCATTTGGACCAAATAATCATATGATCTTCTATACCAGAAATTAAATATTGAAGAGAAATGATTTGGCATTAATCATCACAAAAGACTATCTCAAGCTCTCTTCTGAAGTACAATGCTGTGAGTGATAAGCTCTATCCATATGCATATGAAGAAGTCCTGTTAATACAGCTATTGTCTGTACTAGTCAGAAACCAAAGATAAGGAAATTGAAGATTTCTACAACTTTTGCAGTCTGAAATTGATCGAACATTCAGTCACAATAGAGTAATGATAATTTGTGACTGGAATGCAAAAATGGAAGCAAAGAACGATGGTTG